CCCCCCCCCCCCCCCCCCCCGCCCGGCTCTCTTTCCCTCCCTCCCTCCCTCCTCACCTGTTGCTGCCGGCCTGCCAGCCGTTGTCCGGGTCGGGAATCGTCGTCGAGAGGGTGCTCCCCTCCGCGTTCTCTATCGAGAGCACGGAAGGGGTGTTGCTCGTGTTGTCGAGGGTCACGGACAGCCTGCATGCACATACAGTAGAGGACACGCTTCGGTTGGTCGTTTCGAAGCGAGTGAATGGAACGCGGCTGAAACATTGGGTCGTCTGACCTCCCTCGCAGGTACACAATCGATGCTACCGTAGCCCATCGGTTCTCACCCGACTGTGTCCCATGTAGAAAAAGAGACGAGACACCATATTCTTAACATTATTTTGTGAGTTGCAGCTGTTGGCTGTCTAGGCCACTTGCTAGAGAATACTGTCATTGGTCTGGGTGGAATACAGCTACAGGGGGGGTTGGTTGGTGTTCTCATAGAGGGGGTGGGGGTGGTGTACTCACATAAACGCATGCCCTATTCGTTGGACAATTGGGGGGCGGGTGCAAGGGGGGAGAAGAGGCGGACGGGGAAACCGTGGGAATTCGCGGCGGTCATCGCATCGTCCACGGAATCCCCGTCCTCGCATCACTAACACCCCTCCTTCACCTCATCAAGACCCACAGCACACAGCACATGGCTCCTCCCCCAGAATCCCTCCCCCGGCAGCTCACAACAGGTCAGGCCACACAAACGAGGTAGGTGACAATATTTATCACTACAATACACCTATTTCGGCGACGAGATACATAGCGCCGTGGGCATGGCGTCTTGCGAGACAATACATAAGACAAGGCTCCATTCCCTCCGAGGCTGCACCCGCTGCCGCTGTTGCTGCTCTCTTGCACACACACACACACAACACTCTTGCTGCCCCATGACGCCCCATCATGCGGTCCCAGATCATGGCCTCAAGAAGAAGAATTCTATTTTCAGCCGCACTGAGACTGACGAAGTTTGGTCAGCCGGATAGCGCGGCCAATAAAAAAAAATACACACACACACCTCCCCCTCGTACCACGATTGGGAAAACAACCAACCAACCAACCAACCAACCGACCGACCAAGGACGACGCACCACACGATGGTGGTAGATGTCTCGTCCAGGTAGGACAAGTCCACGTCGTTGTCGAGCACCGTCGATCCGTAGGTTACGTCCGCGCCGGAAGTTCCATTGACGGCCGAGGGAACTGGAGTCTGGGCAAGCAGTAATGGGGTAGTGGCCAGGGCGGTAGGGGGCATTAGGGACGGAAGGGGGTAGCCAAGGAACAGCTCAGAAATATGCTGCTTCACATGTTTGCGAAATGGACTTGAAAACACAAGAAAAAAAAAGTAATTGATTCTTCGTGCGTGTGCACGCGGGTGCAGCAAGTACACGCCAAGGTAGGTTACGTCAGGAGACCAACCAGTCCAGCAAAGCAAGGACTGCTGCGCATCTCAAGACCAGGAGAGCGAGAGAGAGAGAGAGAGAGAGAGAGACCGAGAGAGAGAGAGAGAGGGAGGGGGAGAAGCTCACACGGAGTGGTGGAGAGTGTTGTTCCGCTAGGCGTACTCCCACCATGCGCATCAGTCGCGCTGCGAGAATAACCCAGACGGTAACCAATCCACAGCAACACCACCACCTGAGTATTCCAGAGTCAGCAGCTGAGTGCACAGGTTGGTCGGTGTTCTTCTAGAAAAAGAAGGCTTCCTTCTCTCGTGCTTGCCGTCACGTTTGTCCCGACATTTTTCGTCACTCATGTGTGGCCAAAAGTTCTACTTCTTGCCCCACCCCACCCCACCCCACCCCACCCCACCCCGCGGCACCCACGACTCACCTGTACCGAGATCACCGACGCCGTCAGTAGCTGCTCGTCGNCCCCACCCCACCCCACCCCACCACACCACTTGTGGTATCGTAAGTGCTCCATCGTCATCGTTTTGTTGCACAAGCTTCAAGCACCCTTACCGAGGAAAGCCCTACCGCCGCTGCCAATGCTCGGCCCGCGGTCGGAGCATCGGACGTCAAATAAACAGTCGCGCCGGTAACAGTTCCGCCACCAACGGGTGCGCTCGGCGGTGACACTGTCTTCGGTGCTTTCGTCTGTTTTGTTTCATGTATGTTTCGGTTTCATATTTTGGATGTAGAGGTTATTCGGTGTGTTGCGAAGACAATTTTGGCAGGGGGCGCAAAAAAAAAATAACAAGAAGGAAAGACAGCGGCGGCGGTGGCAGCAGCAACAGCAGTAGCAGCAGCAAGCACAGCGGTGGCTCAGCCCCGTCATCACAGGACGATGAGAAAGGAAAGGTGCGCGAGGGGGCACTAATCGTATCGTACGGGCGCGATTTAGCCAGCGGATGGCCTACCCTCACTCACAGGGCACCGCTACAACGAGCTAGTCACACAGGAGCAATAGCATCACATTTAACAGCGCTTGCGGCAGCAACTCGATCGAGTGCCAATCGCTTTTATTTTTGTTGTTGTCTTCGGCATCTACCACTAGGAGCAACAAGGTCAACCACAAGGCCGCCACAACATAACAGACCCCTACGTATGCCACGTATGTGTATTTGTGGCATTGCCCTTCCTTGTCCCCCGTTTTACGTATACAGTCTCATGAATTCTTCTCCAATATTAGCATTGTTTACGCTTAAAAAAAAAAAATGGTCGGTGTTCCTCACCCGTTCCACCGCCACGGGGGGCTCCGTGACTGCTATCGGGGCCGCGGTCACCTCGCGAACCGGCGCATTGGTCGGTGGCACCGTCACTGGTTGCTGTAATTTTTTATGTGTGTGTGTTGTGTGTGGAGTGTAATCGTTTCATGAGTACTGGTACATGATATTATCGACGAGCAATTTGGGTCTTGTGTGTGTGTGTGTACGTGTATTTTCTTTGATGAGAACACGACTTTCGATCACAAGAAGCGACAACGACCGACCACACAGGAGGAGGTTTTTCTGCGCTTGTCCAATGGACTAATTTCAAAGCGTCAATCATGTACGTACGTACGTACGGAACGCAACGTCTACTTCGACGACAACGGGTGTCGGTTCTTCGCCATCCAATCAGTCAGGCGAATCAAGGATAACAAAGGGTAGGTGGCGGAGCGAAGCTAAGCGGCACCCTACAACAAATGTGCCAGTTGTGCTGCATTGCGTTACTACGAGGCTAGGCTTGCGGCAATGCGGGACACCGGGGGAAGCGATTGAGAAACCAGAGCACCAAACGCATGCAGAGGCAACCCGCCTTACATGGTTCCGATAAACGCCAGCTACCCGTAGGATCATGTCCTCCACGTCATCCGAATGTTGGGGGGCGGAAAGCACTCACGCCCGTTTTTCTACATTTTCCTGATAAAAGAAATACCATGAAAGCTTCTTCGGCTACGTACGGTATCCATTCGTGCTGTGCCTCGCTCCCTTACCGCGGTAATCGGCACGGGGGGCTCCGTGACTGGGATCGGGGCCGGGGTTACCACCATTCCTACCGGCGCTTTGGTTGGCGGGACCGTCACTGCCATTGGATGCTGCGTCACGCATTCGGTGTGTTGCGATTTTTGTCACGGATTCAGGTTTTCAACGACCTTGTATAGGCGACAGCAGCGCGACAACAAGTGTACTTTCTGGGGGTATTGTTGTTGTTGTGCGTGTCGACAACACAACTCTCGTTGTTTCCTGCGGCAAACGAATGCTCTTGATTCTCGAAATTAATTCAGAAGAATGAACGCGGTGAACATGGAAACAGGCGGCTTCAGCCACTCCCGAAAAGAAATGAAGTACAGCCTCTACCTGTATGCACAGGACTACATTAACCTGACCGGACGAGCATATGACAGATCGGGGTAAAATTAACAAAGAAGCTTGCAACTCGCGGTGCCCCTTTTTGCCAGCACCGTGAAGCGACGATCATGAACATAACCTTAGCCCGCGCGTCCTGCACCTTGCTACGGACGGCAAAAGCACTGCTGTTGCGGCTCGCGGCTGGGTGTAAACACCGCAGCAAAAACAAAAACGCCTCCCGCCGTTTGTCAGAATTATCAACCGTCTCACGCGCGCTGTCTGCTCCGTACCACAGAATCGCTACGGGGGGCTCCGTAACTGTGATCGGGGCCGGAGCCACTGGCGAGGTGATGGTACCACCGCCGCTCGTTGCTGCATTTCTTGTTGAGTTTTTTCACGTGTACGAAGGTTTCAACGAGAGAAAAGGAGGCTACAACACATTTATTTTTCTGCCTGTGCCAACTGTAGTTCCACATAGAAACAGCTACAGCAGTTACATGGGATAAGCTGGAAGGCATGTTGCCTTGGGGGGGGGGGGGAGGAGGGATGCAGGGTCGCGAACAGCACAGCAGTATCAGGCAATCCTTGATGAACATATTTTCATTGCTTGCTTTCAATGTAGCACTGTAGTTCTCGGGGCAAAACATGTGCGTATGCTTACCGCGGTAATCGCCACGGGAGGCTCCGTGATTGCGGTCGGTGCCGGAGTCTCCCCCACCCCCACCGGTGCGCCGGTCGGCGGTACCGTAACTGGCTGCTGCGTCTTTTCGTTTCGTGTACCAGTATTGGAGAGCAGATTTTACACATGTTACAATATGCACGAAAGAGGAAAAAACAAAAAACAAGGGGATTGATTTGTGTGTGTGGTGCGACAACAACGGAGGACCTGAAGCCGCGGGAGCCAGCGTGTTCGGTTCTCGAAAAACAATTGTCACAACGTCGGGCACGCCGATTGGTAGGAAGCACCACAAGCAGCACGATGAGGGAAAACAGAACAACTGGGGGGCAGACCGACAGAGAGAGAGAGAGGTCCAAATACTTTACACGAATAGACATGACAACGGAATGCGTACTACAAGGAGATGCAGAAGAAAATAGCGAAAAATTCGACGAGGACGTAACCGACAAATAAAAGGCGGGGGGGCAGGGTCCTCCTCGCGCCGTGATTGTTGCCAAAACTCGACTACGACTAATGATCAACACGCGACGAGGGCTTGACTAAGACTGCTACGCTTTACGTGCGCGCTGCGCGAAGCTATGTGTGCGTGACAGACCCGCATATCCATTGCTTCAAAACACCACCGACATTGTCCGTCCGTCCTTATCGCAAAACAAAACTTCACGACGAAAACGCTCGCCCAAAACAGCGGGGAGGGGGGGGGGTCTGAAGCCGCTTTTTACGTTAATATGTGTTTCTTGCTCTCTTCTGTCTCACCGTAGGAGCCGGAGTCACCCCGACCACATCGCCCATGGGGGAATCGGTGGACAATAACGGCTGAAGGGTTTCTCGCTGTTCCCGTCCATTTTTTTTTCGTTTTTGGTTCATGTTCCGCCCAAGATTCCGCCATCCCACAAGTTGTTCCGATTCCGTTCCGTATCAGTTTCCATTTCCGTTGCGAATTGGTTTCCGTTTCCGCGCCGAGTTGTTACAATCCGTTCAGATTCGTAGGTTGAGGTTTACATATGGAGGTCCGAAGGCGGCGGGCATCGCAGGCGGTGGGACGTCGGTATACAAATGCATGGATGGGACGCTTCGAAAAAACTATGACTTGTTATCATGGGAAAAACACACACAAACACACACAAATCGGTAGACGAAAGGCGTGCGGTGTGTGCGTGAGCTTCACGGTCATGCAAACCACGCACTCACCACGAAAGAGAAAAAATACCACGAACCCACAAGCAGGATAAGAACGCAACCGGACGAAAGTACCGGATAGGAGTGGGGCGGTGCGGTATCGGAACGCTCGCGGGTCAGACGGCCGAGGCGCGTGGAACTGCAATGGAACAGTGTGGCATGGTGTGGTATGCCATGTTATGGTACGGAAGGGGCGCCATGCCCCCAAGAAATAGGGGGGGGGCCAGGGATGGGCAACGGCACGGGAGGGGTGGGTTCGGCCGAGAGGCAGGATTGGGTCACCGGTCGAACGGGGTCGGGAGGGTGGGAAGGTCGATCGCGCGCGGTACGGTAATGGGACGTACGGAGGGAATGCCATGCTCCCAAGGAAACCGGGGGGGGGGGGGGGGGGGGGGGGGGGGGGGGGGGGGGGGGGGG